GTCAGAGTTACAGCTGCCGTCTCTAGTCTGTTAATGAAAACAATACACACACCGGAAGTCAAGGCCAATAGAATGATTAAGACTTCGTTTAAGTGCTTCAATATCACTGAACACATTAGCTTGCTGTGTTCATTCTTAGTACGGAATCAACCCCTGTAGTTCTATTATGTTATCAAATCGAGTTGTTTCGCTTTTTACTGCTTGGGATATTCGAGCTCCATTTTTCCAACTTTTCATTGGATCCAATTCACCTGCCTTACCATGTTGGAAATAAAACCATTTTCTTTAGCGTATAAAACAAAATAATATATTAATCTTGCTATACATGTATCTGATCCGGTCATTTTATCAATCAGTGTATTGATCTATTGTGCTCTTTTCACTATTCCTAATTTCTTTAACTCGTATCCTGCTCCTTGCTACAGGCTTCTGGTTAAGAATTGGAGATATTTGGGTCATGTAATAGCTGGTGGAAAGGATGACAAAGGAAATGGCATATACTTGCAATTTATATATGAATTATGTCCAATTTTACCCAAAATCTAGTTCAATTGATTTTTATTGATCTATATCATTTTCTGCATAGAAAAATGTATCCCAAATAACAGTATAGTTTTAATAAGCAGACACATAGAGTGTCAAGTCATGATCTGCTAGCACTAGCTTGGTAGAGCAACAGACGAATTCTAAAGTATCAAAAAAATTCAATACATCTGTTGTTAATAAAACTCTAAAGTTAAATTTAAGTGGTCAGTCACAGCCAATATAGTATAAAAAGGCCCATCCGTTATTGTCTGACTTTTATTTAATGCCAGCTCAATGTGGGAACTTAAACCTAAAAAAAGAATTGAATGAAGACATCTTGAAACAAAAATGTCTGGATGCCGATTAGCTATCTATTATCAATACTTCAACAATAAGGGGTATCAGTACATTGTAGATTGGATACTGGTTATCATGTGAAATCGCAGATTTCTTCAGTATTCCAAGCTGACAAATGCAAAAGTACCATTAATGAAATAATGGTGATTGGGCAAATAGTTAAGCACAATAAAAATAATAATTTTATATTACTAAGTAAATAATAAACACCCAAGACAACATTAAGCAAGAGGAGAAGAATGCTGTTCTCTTCTCATTTCCTACACCATGATCTGTAGTGTTGGCAGGGGGATTTCTAGGACCTCAAACAGTGAAGCAATGTACATGGTCTAACTATTTCTACAAATTCAGTATGGTCATCTTACTAAATTTTGAGCTGTGGTGAGTTGAGTGCAATATTCTAAAGTAGAAGTGGAAAATTGACTCTAATCCAACAACAAATTGATTTATGTAATGTACTGTTTGTTTGGCTATCAAATACATTATATGCCACTACCTAAATTGAGTATAAATGTTTACATATTAATGAATTTCACAGAATGAAATATAGTCCATAAAGTCTCACTCACTCTCATTTATACTCAGAGCCGGCATGACCGCTAGGTGGACTAGGCAATCGCCTAGGGCAGTGATGGCTAACCTTGACACCATAAATTGTTTCTAAACTACATTTCCCATGATTCTCAGTTACCGCAGTCTCCAGGTGACCGGCAGGAGGAGAGCACAACACAGTGCTCCCCATCCAGCCAGTCACTGCATGTATCGTGACTGAGCCACGGGCCACAGTAGAAGAGTTTCTGTTCCCTCTACCTGGTTTGACAGGAAGCTGCTCGCTGAGAGCACCAAACTGCTTCCTGTAAGAAGTGGTAGAGGAAACAGAAGCTCCTCCATTGCGGTCCACGGCTCGGCCATGCTACACAGGAGGAGGAAGTTGAGCTGGTAGGGCTGAGGGGGCAAGGAGGTGCACAGAAGGGTTGAGGGTGGCAATGAGGCTCACACGAAAGCTGGGGGGGGGGACAAAGACTGGGGGAGAAGAGAAACACACAAAGGGGCTGGGGGAAGAAAGAGACCCACATAGGTGCTGGGGGAAAAAGACACAAAGAGGAGATGGGGAAGGGAAGAAGAAACACACACACAGATGAGTTGTGGGTGGGGCAAAGAGTCACACAGAGTTGGCAATACTTATTTTATAGGGGTGGGGACACATGTAGCTGGTCTTGCCTAGGGCAAAAAAAAAAATCTTGCATGGTCCTGTTTATACTCACTCTAGTTATGATTACCAGTCTGTAGAGGAACGGATTTCTCAGACAGAAGCTACTATTCACTGATATAATGCCAGCAAATTTGCTGAAAATATAAGTTCACCCACGGCTTTTAAACAATACATGAAGTTTCCATGTGTCATATCATTACTTCAGTCAGGGAGGGAGAGAAGTGAATGGACTCTACCATTTCACTTCTAGCATTATATTAGCAGTTCAGATAATGATTATAGCAGTTTTAAATACCTTTATTTTAGAAATATATGGTTTAACTGTTTTTTCTCTATGTTGGTATTATACTCAAATGCAGACATTCTTTTCACTTTCTATTGCCATTTCTACTAAGCTGTACTGCTTGTAATGCCTTCAGGGTCCTTGCCAATGCCTACAAGCAAGCAATGTGACCATTTTTATTTATCTAGTTTGTCACATCGACTGTATGTTAGAAAACAAAATGCATTTTTGCTTTTATACTAACATTTTATTATTATTATTATTATTATTATTATTTTATTATTTATATAGTGCCAGCAAATTGTGTAGTGCTGTACAATGGGTGGACTAACAGACACGTAACTGTAACCAGACAAATGGACGCACAGGAACAGAGGGGTCGAGGGTCCTGCTCAATGAGTTTATATGCTAGAGGTATAGTGACACAAATGGTATAAGTAGAAATAGGTTGCTAGAAAAGTATTCACTGAGAAATTAGGTTATTTTTGACAGTTGCAGGAGAGGAGTCATGGGGGAAGAGGGAGGAATGAAAACCCGCTAACAGTTTAAATTATATGCCGTCCTGAAGAAGTGTGTTTTCAAAGATTTTTGAAGGAGTGGAGACTGGGTGAAAGTCTAATGGAGAAGGGAAAGGAGTTCCACAGAAAAGGTGCAGCCCTGGAGAAGTCTTGGAGGCGAGCATCGGATGTGGGAGTACGAACAGAGGACAGACGTAGGTCTTTGGCAGAGTGCAGGGGCCTCAACGAGATATAGCTGTGTATTAGGGAGGATAGGTAGTAGCAGTATTATGTAGGGACTTTTAAGCAAGCACCAGAATCTTAAATTGAGCTATATCTAACTGGAAGCCAATGTAGGTACTTACAGAGGGGGGAGGCATGGGAGGTGCAGGCGAACAGAAAAATGAGCACCGCAATCCCATTCATTATATATAGCAGCGGTGCAAGCTGGGAACACGTAAGACCACTGAGAAGGTGATTGCAGTAGTCAAGGCGAGAGAGAACAATGGCATTTTAGACCTTGTTTGAAATATTTCAAGATAAATGACACTGTATACTGTTTAAAGCTTTTAATTTCCTAAATATTTCTATAGAGGCTGACCGAATAAACAAAAAATAAAAAATTTAAGTTTACATAACTTTAATGTTTACATCTGTCTGTAAAACACTATATACACAAAATTGCTGTTATTATATGTTTTTATGCTTGGCAGTGAAGGGTTAAGGCCTACTAGTGAGTGCACATAAAGACTTTTGTAATGTCTATTAACTGTTTGTGATTAGAATTTTTCCTCTTTGATAAGAACTTATCTAGTGCAGGATGTTGTGGATGTCTGTTCTCTGTTCTCTGTTCACAACAACAGAACACACAAAGTTAGGGATTTATTCATTAGATCAAAAAAGCTGGAGAAATGACAAGGAAATTGCAATTTTTAGGCCAAAATTACCAATTCAGAAAAGGCTAACCCTGCTGCTTTTCCAGCTTGGAGTTTTGGCATACAACGTACAACACCGTATTTACGTCTCTATTTACACACCTAACACAAAATCTCAAAACCTTTCCAAGTTATAACTATTTTTTACAGAGATCTCATATAATTTGATGAAATGACTCAATGAATGAACATATGATCTACGTTTTCTATTTTGCAATTATTATTTTTGTATTCACTATTTAAAATAACTTTGTATTTTTCTTGACACATTTCACACATTCTATGTGCAAAACACCAAAAAAAAGTTCAATACTGCCAACACGTTTTTTAGTACATATTGGCAAATAATTCAAAAAGTTCTAATTAAAAGAAAATATTTTCTGGAAAAAAAAACAAACCACGCTTTCTTTTTATTACTTGCTCACTTTTTCAGAAAGGAATATCATCATGACACACACATATAATCCCATCATTTGGTTTGGGGATTTAGAAAGAATTATTTTGATGGATTGTCTTTGGCTTAGAAAGTTATAGAGCTTTGGCCTAAGGCGCACATCAAGCTGCTAGCAATTGCTTTTAACTTTAAGCATCGATCATTTCCCTTAGCTATATGTCATGTGTCTTAAATATAGTAAGAAAAACAGAAGGATTATTCCAAATATGATATGGATTTTCCAGTTGCGGGGGCCATCAAGAGCCTAATGAGCTAGTTATGTCTAAGATATTATATATTGTATATTGTACTGGAACTGTAAATCTTCTCTCTTAATTCCTATAGTGGTCCATGCTTGTCTGACTGATGAAATGTACTGTACTAAGTGATCTACTTCAACATTTGTTTTCATTAGCCCTGAGTTCATAACAAATACATAGATTTTCACAACTGATAGATAAAATGCGATGGCAGATAAGAACCGCTTGGCCCATCTAGTCTGCCCAGTTGTCTAAATACTTTCATTAGTCCCTGGCCTTATCTTTGATCTAGGATAGCCTTATGCCTGTCCCACGCATGCTTAAACCCCTTTACTGTGTTAACCTCTACCACTTCAGCTGGAAGGCTATTCCATGCATCCACTACCCTCTCAGTAAATTAATTCTTCCTGATACTATTTTTAAACCTTTGCCCCTCTAATTTAAGACTGCATGTCCTCTTGTTGTGGTAGTTTTTCGGCTTTTAAATATAGTCTCCTCCTTTACTGTGTTGATTCCCTTTATGTATTTAAATGTTTCTATCATATCCCCCCGTCTCGTCTTTCCTCCAAGCTATACATGTTAAGATCCTTTAACCTTTCCTGGTAAGTTTTATCCTGCAATCCATGAACCAGTTTAGTAGCCCTTCTCTGAACTCTCTCCAAAGTATCAATATCCTTCTAAAGATATGGTCTCCAGTACTGCGTACAATACTCGAAGTGAGGTCTCACCAGTGTTCTGTACAATGGCATGAACACTTCCCTCTTTCTACTGCTAATACCTCTCCCTATACAACCAAGCATTCTGCTAGCATTTCTTCTGCTCTATTACATTGTCTGCCTACTTTTAAGTCATCTAAAATAATTATCCCTAAATCTCTTTCCTCAAATGTTGAGATTAGGACTCTATCAAGTATCCTGTACTTTGCCCTTGGGGTTTTACATCCAAGATGCATTATCTTGCACTCATCCACATTAAATGTCAGTCAATCATTTCCTTTTGACGTATCCCTCCTGGAACATCAACCCTTTTGCAAATCTTTGTATCATCAGCAGGGCTGCCATCAGAAATTTTTGGGCCCATAACACACCTCAAAGTCTGGGTGGCCCACCTCCAAGCCCGCCCACAAGAATGCAGTGTGTGTAAAGTGGACATGGTGTGTGTTTGTGCATTTTTAGTGGATGCAGTGTGTGTATATATATTTATATATATATATATATATATATATGTGTGTGTGTGTGTGTATATGTATGTATGTGTATATATACATATATGTGTACTAATATGTGTGTGTGTGTGTATTTATTTATATATATATATATGTGTGTGTGTGTGTGTACATGTATGTGTATATATATGTATACACACACAATTTGTGTTTGAATGTAAGCATGTTTTTGTATGGAGTATGTGTGTGGATGTAGGTGTTTGAATGTCGGCATGCATTTGTGTGCAGTGTATACACTTCCACATACACAGATACACAGACAAACACACGCAAATACAGACACACAGTTACACAGGCAAACACACACAATGACACAGTTACACACACACACATATACCCACACTGAAACACAGATACAGACCCTCATACACATTGACACAGAATACACACACTAACACACAGATATACACAGACATTCCTAAGACACATACTGACACACACATAATGACACACAAACACACACTGACATACATACACACATACTGACATACACATACATATTGACATATTTCGGCACACCTCAACCAAATTTTATATACCTCTACGAGTATGATAAGGTATCAATACACATGCGGCTTTATTGTCCTGAGCACAAATATATATATATATATATATACAAACATACTGACATATAGATATACATACAGACACACACACATACATACAGACACACACATATATATATACAGACATACACATACATACAGAAACACACATACAGACAGACACGCACGCACACACACACACACACACACAAACACATCTCATATTTCAGCCACCCTCTTGTTTCTACTTTTTTGGTGCAGGAGGGTGGCTGGGGCTGTTGGGAGATGGCTGGCTCTCCCTCCTCTATGTCTCCATTCTGCCTTTCCTCCCTCCTGTGCGGAGTAAGCTAGGAGGGAAAGACGGTATGTCACTTCCTCCCAGCAATACATACAGCTGCCATTTTTAAAAGGGCACTTGAAAGTACATGCCCATCGTCTTAATTTCCCACATTTGCTTTAAATCTGTATTTTGTCACAAATTGGTGCTTTCAAAATAAATCGGAGGAACTGAGACAACAACAACTTTTTGCACCTTAGCCTATTCAAGAAAAATAGGTGATTATTGTATTTGTACAACTTTGACCGAATGGCTAATCACACTGGGTCGCCTGGTCAGTGCTATGTATCCAGAAATATTTCAGGTTTTTTTTCAACTAATGATTACATCAGATGATAATCAGTTTAAAGATATCAGTATTAAGAAAATTGTTGTCTAATTATTGTGACATACTCCTAAACTGTGCTTCACAATTATGTAAAAAGTGAAAAAGAGTATTTTAATCAGCTGTAAGAAGTAGAGCAGATAATTAATTTAATTAATTAGACGAGTAAGAACAATACATTACATTACACATAAGCAATATCTTGTTTGAGGTTATGCAGGGACAAATTAACGTGGAATTGCAAATGGATGCATTAGGAACTGTCTGACTATGATGTTCTGCTATACCACAAACTGAAATTAAAATTTGTTGATTATTTTTTAATCTGATATCTATGTTGGAGGTGACAATACAGTATTGCCATTATGCGACAGAAAGCAACTTGAAAAGGTCAACACCGACGAAATGTGATTTATTTTTCTTCAGCAGTACAGTTGCTAATAGTTTTCGTTTGTGAGTAGGAAAGATAAAAATAAATAATTTTATTAAATAATAAAATTGTAACTTGATTCATTTTGAAAAAAAAAATGTGTCATCATTAAAATTTTGGGAAAAAAATACAAACGTAGGAGTAAAATGTTGTTTGCTATAGAATTTATTTTGTAGTTATATATTCACAATAACAAAATATTCACATGGTAATATTTTTAACCCCTTAAGGACACATGACATGTGTGACATGTCATGATTCCCTTTTTGTCCGAAGTTTGGTCCTTAAGGGGTTAATTTACGTGATCCATGATATAAACCACCTTTTATATGTAGCTCTACTACCACATGCATTCCATAGTAGTCTGTGCTGTTTACTAAAAACTGTGCTTCTTAACCCCTTCACTACCAGGGACTTTTTGATTGGAAAAAATATTAGCATAACATTTATTTGAAGCAAGAGATGCATAGCTAGCGTGTAAACACATCCTAACATGGCAAGACTGTGCATATATTGCATTACAGACAAGCTTAAATATGTCATTTTTATTTTTCACTTATTCATTTCCCAATTTTTGGGAAATGAAAAGCTTTAGACAGTATACAGTGTCCTTTTACTTGTAATATTTCACACAGGACCCCAGCAATTGTATTATGAAAGCAAAAATGCTATTTGTTTCATATGCAGTAGGTGTGACCAGGGCTGTATTTACCACAAGGCAAACAAGGTATTTGCCTAGGGCGGCACTTTCAGGGTGGCAAATGACTTGTTTGCCTTGTGTACTCCCCCTAGGTCTTAAACTACTAATATTCTAGCTGGTTGGCAAGGGAGCTATGTCCTTTTAAATTAAAAAATATATATATGAATAATTTGTGAGTGTATGAGAATTGTGTGTGTCTGTCAGTGAGTGTGTGTCTGTCATTGTGAGTGTGTTTGTGTGTCTGTCAGTCAAAAAAGTGGCCTTGACACAAATTGGTGGGGCAAATTTAGATAATGGAGGTTCCAAATTTAGTCGTGCCTAGGACAGCACAAATCCAAAATATACCACTGGGTGTGATAAAAATATATAAATAAAAATGGTCAATAACCTTGGTTGAAGGTATTTGCAAGGACTCTGAAGGCATTACTTGTTACTACTGAATGTAAAAAGAATGTCTGCATTGAGCATAATGCCAACATACAGTAAATACAGTTAAATCAGATTTATAAAATAAAGGTATAAAACTGCTATGGCAATCTAATGTCTAATGTCTGGAACACTAATGTAATGTTGACAGCAAAATAACAAAGTCCGTTCACCCCTCCCCCTCCCTGACTGTAAAAAATAAAATTATCCTATAATGCTGAAACTAGAAACATAGAATGTGACGGCAGATAAGAACCATTCGGCCCATCTAGTCTGCCCAATTTTCTAAATACTTTCATTACTCCCTAGTCTTATCTTAGAGTTAGGATAGCCTTATGCCTATCCCACGCATGCTTAAACTCCTTTACTGTGTTAACCTCTACCACTTCAGCTGGAAGGCTATTCCATGCATCCACTACCCTCTCAGTAAAGTAATACTTCCTGATATTATTTTTAAACCTTTGTCCCTCTAATTTAAGACTATGTCCTCTTGTTGTGGTAGTTTTTCTTCTTTTAAATATAGTCTCCTCCTTTACTGTGTTGATTCCCTTTAAAAAGTGAGGAAGACTTGCCTCACGGCAGCTTTGAGGAGGGGGTACTGTCATGACTGTCATCTTGCCTTCCACATTTATTGTGTATGTGGTCCTGGATGGGTTCGAACCTGAGTCTCCTGCATTCCAGCCAGTGACCTTGTCCTTGGCTCCACCGATCTTTGGCTGAAACTAGGGGTCGAGCTTACATTTTCAGCAACTTTAACGTCATTTTTTTAGTGACTAGTGGATTTATGCAGAGAAATGAGTTCCTCTACAGGCTGGTTATCATAACTAGAGACTATAGTTTGTGTGGTGGTATAGTGCTTTGATCTGGCCAAACACAGGATACTCATGTGGGATAAAAGGGAGTAGTGTCTCACAACACTCACAGGTGGCATATGAAGTAAAAAAATGAAACATTGAGAAATATATATTGTAATATTTTCCAATGTGAAAACAAAATTAAAAAAGGAAACACACTTACAAATGAGTGGAACCCAGTTGTAGGCACGTGAGCGTTATAATTCCTGCTTAAGGATGTTTGTTGTGTCCCTTAGTTCTGCTTGCCAATCCAGGGTTTATGCAACAAAAACAGAAAATGATCATATAGTGTAGTAGTATGTTCAAATGTTGTAGTAAAAACAGATAAATAAAATTACACTCACATGGCATAGAGCCTATACCAAATTAGGATACTGCTAGAGTGGTATAATTTCCACTCTGGGATAACTGGCAGGCACAATTCCTCTCTGTATTCCATATATGTAATAAAGCAGAGGTAGAAATTAGAGCACAGTGTGATAAAAGATAAGTGCAAACAAATGGAAAGTTCCACTTGCCAATCCAGGGTTTATGCAACAAAAAAAGAAAATGATCATATAGTGTTGTAGTATGTTCAAATATTGCAGTAAAAAAAAAAAAAAAAAAATTAGACTCACATGGCATAGAGCCTATACAATGGCTCTTAGGATACTGCATAGAGTGGTATAATTTCTACTCTGGGATAACTGGCAGGTACAATTCCTCTCTGTATTCTATATATGTAATAAAGCAGAGGTAGAAATTAGTGCACAGTGTGATAAAAGATAAGTGCAAACAAATCGAAAGTTCCACTTGCCAATCCAGGGTTTATGCAACAAAAAAATGATCATATAGTGTAGTAGCATGTTCAAATGTTGTAGTAAAAAAAATTAAAAAATA